TGGCAGCCCTCTGAACTCGCTTGACATTATTATGTATGAAACTGCCAATCAGATTTATTTACTTATTAATCAAAGGTGCAGCAACGCTGTTCTGGGATCGTTCCGGCCCATTTAACCCCCTGTGTGTGTGTGTGTGTGTGTGTGTGTGTGTGTGTGTGTGTGTGTGTGTGTGTGTGTGTGTGTGTGTGTGTGTGTGTGTGTGTGTGTGTGTGTGTGTGTGTGTGTGTGTGTGTGTGTGTATAGTATCTTTTTGGGCCTTGTTGCCTTGCTCTGTGGTCTCGTTGGCTTTTGCATAGATGCGAAATGAGTGATTTGCTGCAGGCTCTTCACACAAAACAAACAGCACTTTTTTTAATCAGTTCAGCATTAAAGTGTGCATTTCTATATATTTCACTATTTCCAAAAACCAAATCTCGCACGTCCATACGATTTGCATTTTGTTGTTCATTGACTTCTTTTTGATTTTATAATAGAAACTCACCGCCAATGTCAAGGTGTAGCTGTAGCCAGTGATGTAGTGGTAAATAAATAAGTGGGTACACTTTCAGTCATCAAAATGCAAACAACCACCGATACACACACAAGTTACACTTTGAGAAACATTAACATTTTTGAAAAATCCCATATCATCTTGGTCTTGATATGATTTGCTCAGCAAATTTCCTTTTAGAGATTTATTTCTGCTTGATTTAAGCTGTTGCACAGAATCAGATTGTGGTTTAGGTGGATGATCTTCCACTACATCTCTGACTATATAGCTTAAGAAATAGTAAAGACGGGAGAAATAAAAGGAAAATACTAATGACAACAAGTGAAACATCTCTCCAGAATGCCTGAATCCTGGCGGGTAAGCTTGTTAGAAAAGTGTGCCGTGGTTAGATTGTTGATTACAGGGCTGCACGGTGGGCTTCTCATTTTAATTGTGAAAAAACGCGTTCAGTTCGTCATACACCGGAGCACGTTCGTGATGTAAGTGCATGTCGTGGTAAGGCACGACGTTTTCAGAATGAATGCCGCTCCGGGTGGCTCCAGAAGAGCTAAACACTAGGTTGTGGGGCCCGGGGGGTCTGGAGCCAGGCAGGCCGGAGTAATGCATAGAGTAGTGGTACCCCTTCTCGTTCTCGGGCGACGCAGAGCCTTGTTGCTTCAAGGAAAAGTTGCCATTATTAACGCACAGAGGCGGGCTGAGGGGCGCCTCATACTCAGGGCTGTTGTACTCCGGGGATCCGCTCCCACCGTACACCGAGTCGTAAGTCGAGTAGCCGTGCGTCCTCAGTGGATGCGAGTTCGAGGCCGAGCCCGGCTGGCAGTGGGGGCTGGAGAGACGCGCACACTGGTAGGGGTAGGAGTGCATGGAGAAGGAGCCGGAAGCGTACCGGCTCCCGTCCGGACACTGCTGCTCGGTTAGGAAGTTACGGGAGTTTAGCTGCAGGCACCCCGCTACCAGGTTGGTCGTGGGCTGGGAGAGTCCCTTGCACAGCGTCTGGACGTAGGCCACAACGTCGGGCCTTTTTCCAGAACGCAATATCTCCGATAGAGCCCAGATATAGTTTTTGGCCAAACGCAGTGTCTCAATTTTTGAAAGTTTTTGCGTTTTGGAGTAGCAGGGAACCACTTTACGCAGATTGTCAAGTGCAGAGTTCAGGTCGTGCATTCGGGTCCTCTCCCGTGCGTTGGCCTTTGTCCGCCTCACCTTGGTGCGCTCGACACGGGCCGGGGTCATCTTTCGTTTTTTGGGCCCTCTTTTCTTGGGCATGTCCCCCTCTATCCCTTCTTCGTCTTCCTCTTCCTCTACCTCGTCGTCGTCGTCGTCCTCATCGTCTTCCCCGGCATGCTCGGAGTGAGTCCGGCTGCTTCCTCTCAGCTCTGATCCCTCGTCGTCCTGGATGTCCTGATCGTCATCTTTCATTTTCGAATCCTCCTCATCGCTGTCCTCCGCCCAGCCCGAGTATTTCTGCACATCGGGGAGCAGCGATGGGTCACTGAAAAGCCTCGTCAACATTATGGCTCTAGAGAGGAGAGAAGGGAAAATCAGGCCTCAAGAAAACAGGCAGAACAGCACAATGTCGTAGGCTATAGTAATATACAATAAAAAAAAACGAAGACATCATGACTGTTGCAGAAAAAACGCAGTCGTACGAGGTAAAATTCACTATTGCACACGTGTAAACATCCACATATTGATATTATCGAAGTTCCACATATATTTAAAATTGTAACGTCACTAAAGTTCATCATGGACAAAGTGACTTTTGTCATAAAATATATCAGAGACGTTGTTTTTGCCTAAAGGACAAAGTGTTAATTTGGGGGAAATAAAAAAGAGATAGATTCTGAAAGCTTTGCGCTGAGTTGCAGCCAGACGGATCCCCATTTAATTCCCTGCTGTCATCCGTGTGCCCTGTCGCGTCCTCTCGCAGCGGGTCCCAACGGTAAGGGCCACATTACAGGTCCCATGGGGCCCCCCACTTTCACTCCTCCTGACGCCCATATATACTCCTGGCTGCATTCCAGCACTATTCATCCACACTACACCATACACCTCTCCTCAGAGGAGGCAAAGGGGATTTTAATTAATTGATAGGCTGTAGCTCCGTTTAAAGTCACGCTGATTATTAAATTAAGGCTAACAGACAAACTGCAAAAAGGCTTTTAAATGCATGGCCTATAAGCAAGAACAAGCCTACAATTATGATTTACAACTTGGAAAAAAAGTCAAAATTGAAATAATAATCAAAATAAAAACAACAATGTTTTTAAACGCAATAGTTATTCTAAGCTATTTCCAAAATTGCACTAAAAATAATTCAAGGCTCCGTTAAAACGAAACGTAACGAAATGTATATTAACCATCCACAATTGAATACTAAGAAAAAGTGCTAAATCATCAATCTAAAATTCACCCAAAAAGTAGAGATGAACCTACCACTTGATTAGTACATGCGGTCCAATCCAGAAAAAATGGCTACTGAGAGACGAGGTGATCTTTGACAGCTTCAATAAGCCTCCATTGGCTTCCCCTCTAACATGTTTCACTTCCCATCTATTATAGTGCAGCAGGAGACAGACTTGCAGCACATAGTAAGGTAGGCTGTGATGGTTGGCTAATTATCTTGGGGGGTGTGCCAGGGGCAAAATCTAGTTTTTACATCTCAGGCTCAGGAGGTTTGCTCAATTAGAAGAAAAAAACACAACAACGTTTAATTAACAGACCATGCAGCTACACGAAATAGATTTCACACATAATTCAGTATGCACGAGTGCGTGATTTCAAAGCACTTTTTAGGCACCGATAACCATTCACAGATGGAAATCCCATGTATCCTTTTAGCCCTCGTTAAATATAAAAACACAACACAATTATTCAATCTCGCAAAAAAGACTGCAATAGCCCCCCTTCAACGGAACGTCTGTGGTGCAGACAATGTTATGTCGAGATAGATTGTTGAAGATAAAACTAGACAAACAGAGATAAATCATGCTGCACACTGCTTGTCACATTCAATGGCGTTGTCCCACCCTTTCATTTGCTCCAAGATTGAACGTGCAAATCATCGACAAAATCATCAATAAATAGCCCATTAAGCTCGAGGATGTCCTTATAGCTGAGGCAATTGTGCTGATGTCAAAATCTACCACGAATTGTTTTAATCTTGCATATGTCTTTTGTTGCTCTGATTCAGGTTCCAGACGCAGGAATCTCTAAATCAAATTAGTGTCCGGTATGATCTACAGCCTGTTTGATGCTGTACGGGGCTACTCCATCCTCAGGACTTCTCCTTGTGAATAATCCTGGAGGAACAACAACCGGGACCAGGAGACGCTTGCCTTTTGACTCAAGCGAGGTATTTCATAATAAGCTTTTATAATCCAAGTAGATTTGGATGTCAAAAGTTGAAGGGCACGCAGAGGGAGACCGGGGTGCGAGGAGATATAAAGCGATCGCTCTCACACGGACAGCTAATAAAAGACACACATGGAAATGCCTTGTATATCCATTAATTGCATTTTGTTTTATTGGAATGGATTTCAAAGTGTGCCATCACCAGATTTAAATAAATAAACGTTGATCAATATCATCTAAATGTTACATTTCCAAATTGATTATTGCCAGTGGCGTTTTACCTTAAAACTGTAAAAGATAAAAAGGTTTTAATTCATCAAAACGACTGCAAATCAGAACTGTGTTAAACATAGATGACAACTTTGCAATAATAGCCTACATTTGTTTATTAGATAAATGTTCTCCTCCATTTTGGACTCAAGCATCCAGGTTTTATTTCGTTTTTTTGTATTCATTTATTTTAAGCTGTTATTGTTGATTGTGATTCAACTTACCTCGGCTCGAGCTCTTCACAGGGGGTGGGAAGAAAAAACGCGCTTGAGTTTCAGACCATCTTCAGGGACCGCACGAGCGAACCAACGCTCCCTGTGAGTGTGTGGGTGCAAGGCAGCGCGCGGATGGGTTGTTTAGGGGTGCTTCTCTCCCAGCGCGCACACTCCAATAACCGGAGCTCGTGAACTGAACGTGCGTCTTGGCGTGTCTGTGTGTATATGAGTGAGAGAGTAAGTGAGCGTGTGTCTGCATGTGTGTGTGAGTGCGCGTGTAGCAACCGTGAGCTACCGGGGACGGGGTTACATACCAGCTAAGACTGCGATGCCAGCGCCCATATGGCTGGCACGTCACCGGCAAGAGCCATCACATGAGAGCCCGGTGATTGACATGCGCCCGCAATCGCAGAGATTTGCCCGCGGGGGAAGAGAGACATAGAAAGAGAGAGGGAGAGAGAAAAAGAGAGAGAGAAGGAGGAGGAGGTAGGAGGTGGAGGAGGAGGAGGAGGGCTCCGCCATCTGTCACCGCGCTAGAGCTCACACAGAAAAAAAGGAGTAAAAAGCAGAAGAGAGGGAGAAAATAAAATGGTGGAACAACAAAACTCATCATTGTTGACCTGTACTGCTGCTTCAAGGGATGTAGACTATTTATTTTATTTGTAATCGAACCTGTGAATTTTCTCGTTCACCTGCCAAACCCACCCGTCAATGTTTAATCCAATTAAGCTTCTCAGATATCCCTCAGCCCCAATGAGAACGATAATAGTGATATTATAGGTGTTAAACACGTAAGATAAGGCCACATTTACATCTAATAGGGATTTTAGAGTGATTAGTCCTCAGGGTCTATAAGCATCTTTTCATTAAGTAAAAATAATAAGCCCCAAGTCATATGTTCTGCTATAAATCATATCTACACAAGCTATTAACCCCTGTAAAATATTTGTTTTCTCATACACAAGTTTTAGAATTGTTACATGTAATCCAATCTTCAGCTGATAAAAGGTGGGTAAACTGGGTTTAGTTTACCCTCCATCACATCTCTGGTTCAGAAGCAGGTTGGGGGATGGGGATGCATTATAAGTGCATTAAGGCCAGGGAACAGAAGGCATATTGTTTATTTATTTACCTAATTGGATCAAATTATGCTTCAATGTATTCAGAGTAAAAACAAACCAATTATGATTTGTTCTGACTCTTCTGGGCACAACAGGGCCGCAGATGACCCACTTGCCCAAGCTGCAAATGAGTCCGACTGAAAGGAATAGTATAACACAGGCCTCTGCTGCATGTGTGTGGATTGGTGCTCATGAGGTTAAGTGTGAAGATCAAATGTTCACTGGTAGCTGTGTCCGAATGTGCAAGGTTTGCCAAAGCTGCTGCTGGTGTTTCAAGCATGTAGAGCTGAGAGAGGGGCGCCTGCAGGGGCCACACGGAGAGACACAGTGAGAGTGAGACCCAGGTGTGGAGGCCCACTAGGGATGTATAAAAAATGAGGAGGAAGGGGGGTTTCACTATAGATGACAGGGAATTGGAGCTGGCAATAGCTGGCAGAGGTGCCCAAGATTTAGGAGGAGGCATGTTGGCATACAGAGGTGGCTGCATGAATTCCTCACCACCAACATCTTAGTCCCTGTCTGCTTCGCTGCATTGTGTCCGTCCCAGCTTCGTGATCTCTCTATTTAGCAGACATTAGTGGAGTTAATGTGGGAGAAATTAGCTCAATGACCACCAAGTCCAACTTGGCACAAAGACACCCACTGGACTTGGGGAACAGGGACATGGTGGCTGAGAAATAGCTGATAGAAGCTTATCATGTCCTTGGGCCAGGATCACCCCTACATCTCCTCGGCAGCCACAACTTAGGGAGCGTTTGGGGGGTTGCAGGGTCATCTGTGGGGTCACCAGTGGTGTGGCAGCTGTGGTTGGGGAGCCAGGATACTGCACATTCACTAATGTGTCTTATCCATTAGGGGATGAGGGGATGGTAGCCTGGCACTACCCCAAATATGGTGGGATGATTGTGTCAGTGTCTGTGTGTTTGTGTGTTGAGGGGGAGTAAAGGGGCATCCAGCTTCACTGCTAGCCAAATCCGTGCCCTATCCTACCTCAGCTGCACCAAGGAGGGGGGGGAGATGCTGCTGCCAGGGAGGGGATGATGCTTCTCAACAAGTTCCAAACAACCTTCAGGTCACCTTGCCAAAATAAATGCTAAATGTCAACAATGTGGCTTTAGCCAGCGCCGGGCTTTGATCTGATATTGAAACGTTGGAGGAGAGCTTGTTTTTAATTATGATATTTTAGGAGGACTTCGCATCCTGTTTGTATGCAGATTAATCTTAAATAAGGGCCACCTGCTTTGCTTTTTCATAGGCTAAATGCATGTCATCAAAATGCAAAATTGCAGCCCTTCCCCTTTAACATATCAAATTCTCCATCACTCTCTTTTTTTCCTCTATGGTCAAATGACACCCAATTGCCTTTCAAAGTCACCAAGC